TTGGGCAACCGAATCCTTCGGATGAGAATGTTATACCGAGTCCCAGCTGCCTGTTCAGGTGGATGTTGAAGATGCAAAGGCACTATTCAAAGAGAGGAGGGAGTTTTTCTCTCCTTCTCCGATGTCCTGGCTGAGAATTTCCCCAATTCAATTGCCAGCTGAACCTTGCGACTCGTCTCTTCATACAAACCGACACTATCAGAGTGGTTGTGTCTCAAGCCTTTAATCTCTCCAACCCAGATACAATAAGCATGTTAAGTGCTTGTTTGACCAGTCAGACAAAGTAGAGATGGATCTTGCCCCATCACTCTTACAGCATCATCTATCCACATGCTCTGCTCCCCCGCCACCCACTTTCCCCACTTCAGTGAGCAGTTCAATATGGTTATACTCCAAAACTAAGCAGTCATCAAACCCTGTGTTCCTTCAGTAATAGTGCGAGTGCATATAAAATGCCTAGATCCAATCCCCTGTTTCATTTTCCTCTTAATTACTGATACAGACAGACTCAACCTGCCCTGATCTAATTTCCCGGAGATCCACGGCTAAATAGATAGACTGATTCCGCTGATTGACGAGTCAGGAACACAAAGGCATCAATTGAGGGTTATCCCTGTAGAGGAGAAGGGGGAGTTTAGTAGAGGGTTTTTAGAATGTGGAAACATTTCTTACAAATAAAGCCTAATAACAGCTTTTAAAAATGGAATTGGATAACTGGAAGGAAAAGAATATTTAAGTTATGGGATAAAGAGCAGGCAAATTGGAGCTACACAACTACAAATTGGTATTTATGTTGAGACAAGATCATGTCCGACGACTGGACAAATGTAATGAGGGACACATCCGGCAGAGAAATAAAATTGAAAGATGTTGCCCACAGACCAGAGACATGGTTGAGGAGAACTATTTTTAGGAGGATTTTATAGCGAGGGTCAGTGGTTTTTGAAGAAAGGTTTAAAGAACAACAACAAAATGACATTTATATCTAGCGCCTTTCACGTTGGAAGGACGTCCGAAAGGCAAATGAAGAATGCAAAGACAATGAAGGGTTTGCACCTGAGCTGGGGGTGGAATCAAGAGGGGTGGAGGGTAAGGGAGATAGGAGGATGGCCGAAGCCACGATCAAAGAGGAAAGTCTTGAGACGGGCCTTGAAGGAGGTGAGGGAGGATGTGGGAAGCTTTATGCTGAACTCGAGTCCATGTAATTAGTAGAGACGCCACAACAAGACCTCTGTGGAGCAGGTTGTCATTGTTAGCCATTGTTACAGGCACTCACACTGTTTACAGCACACAGCAGTCAGAGCTACGTAATCATCTCAAATGTATACAGTACCCTTCACCCAGGATAGCGTTTTGGACAATTAAGATCAGCTTGTGCTTTAGCCTGGAATCTATACTAGTTTACAACAACAACAAGAAAATTATATTTGTAAAGCTCCTTTCAAGTCGGGAGGATGTCCCAAAGCGCTGAACAGTCAGGGATTAGGACCTGAGTGTGGGGTGGGGAGGGCGGCTAGAGGCACGGTCAAAAAAGGGGGTCTTGAGTCGTGTCTTGAAGGAGGCAAGAGAGGGAGTGAGGCGAAGGGATTGTGGGATGGAGTTCCAAAGAGTGGGGTCAGCGATTTACATTCATAAACTATATCTATATATAAACTAGCAGAACTAATACCAGTTTACACTAACTAGTCCAAAATTAAACTAATTTTAGGGCCCTGAGCCAACTGACTGAGCCAAAAATTTGACAATATTCTCACCTGCTTTCATTTTTCTACCTAGTTAGCACAGATACATTGGAAGCAATACTTTAACCTGGGTTACTGTGAGACGACCAGACTGTGCCACAGAGTGTAGGTCAGTCACCCACTGGCAGTAACTGACCTTTGTCCAAATGTAGTTCTATGGATTGGATACTCATCCGCACAAAACTCGGGACCCCCATCACACCAGTCCTTGTCAGGATCCACTGGCTCCCAATCACTGAACAGATCGATTTCAAGATCCTCTCACTTGTTTTCAAATCACTTCATTCCTTCTCACCTCGTTACCTATCTGACCTGCTTACCCCCCACTACACCACCCGCTGCCTCTGCTCGGCTGGCTCCAGCATCCTGTTTGTCTGTCATCCCCTTCGCTCCACCGTCGGTGGCCTTCAGCCACTACACTCCAAAACTCTGGAACTCTCTCCCTCAAACCCTCCACCTTTCCCACTCCCTCTCCACCTCAAATCCTGCCTAAAGAACTTCCTTTTCAATCGATCTTATGATCATCTCCCCCCTCCCTCTTCAACAACAACAGCTTGCACTTATATAGCGCCCTCCACGCCGGGGGGGGGTGTCTCAGAGTGCTTAAAGGGCGGCATCTTCTCCTGGCTCGGTGTCAGACTCCGTCACTGTCAAGTGCTCCGGGACGCTACTCCGTGTGAAGGGCGCTATATCAATGCAAGTTGTTGTTGTTAATGCCAAACACATTCTGATAGTGATGGTGGAGACCAGCCAGGGGTCTGTGGTACTCGGCATACACCAGCTCCCACATTCAAGGAAGCCCATTCTTTTAGGAGGAGGTCTGCCGTGCGATAGACGCAATGGATTTCATTCCTCAGAGGAGCAAGAGACATGAGACAGGAATAGCTTTACTTCCCAGCAGAATAATGGCTCCATCGCCATTCAGACCATGTCTTGGGTTGGGTGATCTGTGACAGTTCTCACCCCTTTGATCTACATGCAAATTTTATTAACACTTTTGTACTAAGTGTCCTCTGCTTCTCTCCTAACCCTGTTGGCGTGTGTCCCTATTTCAAAGGTGACTCAACCAACTCAGAATCAATCAACCAACTCAGAATCACACACAGACAGGTATTCCCAGTTAACCCCAATGTCTAATGTCTAATTGGAGTCTGCTCGCACTAGTAGAACTCCAATGTTGACAACTATTCTCCAAAGTGCTTACTCCTTTTCTTGTCTGGAATACTACAGAGACTCGAGGATACATCCGGTGGAAACAGCAGCTGTTTATTAAAACCCAGCAACCCGAGGCTCCCTTACATATAAGGAACACAACAATGGAAGATATACAACAATGGGATCAAACATAACAAGCGCACATAACGATAACAACTGGCAGCACAATACTACATCAGCTAAGAAATACGAAACCAACCTTGACTGGAGAGTAGTCCTGTACACATCAGTACATATCGGATGAATTTTCCCCCGTGCTCGCGCCCACGTGTTATTTGACGCTGCAGGCTGCGTGTTAGCTGACTGTCCATCAAGCAGCACTGGGCCTATACTGTTTTTGCAAACTCGTGTCGGCTGCTGCTAACTCTGTGCTGTAAACAGCTTTTGCAACTTGGAATCTTACAGAACCCATTGAAAGGGGCAGGCTTCCTCATTTCCCTTAAATAACATTATATAGTTATATATACATATTATTTACGCATTACAAAAGATTACCAATAGGGTAACTGTGACAGTTTGTTCCCCTTTTGGTGCAGGGAGTTGAATTGAGACATTCAAATTGAGTTGATGGGATTCCAAGAGATGTTACAACGCATGCAAAGCAGATTGGCACCAACGTTGACTGTATTTTGTCACAGTGAAACTTGCCCAAAGAGATCACCTTTAACACCGAGCCACTTTGAAATGGAAACCTTACCTGGTGTTTGGCGAAGGGGGTGGTGGTGGATCATTGGTTAATCCACAATCATGTTCCCTTGAACTGTTTGCTGTTACTCCACTCCAGTCATTTTTATTATGGAGTTGAGGTACAGATCAGCCATGATCTAATAGAATGGCGGAGCAGGCTCGAGGGGCTGAAGGCCTGCTCCTGTTCCTGAGTCTGCTCGTAAGTATAACCCAAGAGTTTTTCGTGAGCCAGGAAAGAAAACTGAATAATTCATTTAAAAAAAAAAGCCAAACTTTACCTAAATCGGAATGTACCCTGGAAGGTATCCCGGTGGGACCAGGGCTCAGGATATTTGCCAGAACATTGTGATCGATGCAACCCAGCCACATTAAAGTGGGATCCACGTTCCATCATTACTCTCCTTATTGAAGGAGCGTCTGCTCGACTATCCAGTCTGCCCCGTGCCTGGCCTTTTTTTAAAAAAATAATCCTTGCATTTGATTTAGTGCCTTATCATATCTTCCAGTCGTCTCAAAGCGCTTCACAGAATATACTGTAAAGTGAATTGACTATAAAGTTTTGAGGGTGAAACGCGGCAGCCAATTGCGCACAGCAGTGTCCCATAAACAGTCATGGATTGAGTGACCAGATTTCTTTTTAAGGGATTATTAAAGAAGAATAAACTCACCGAGTGGGTGGGTGGTGAGAGTAGAGTATGAGACAATTTAGTTCCCACCAGAAACTAGGTCAACACGGTCCAAAATATGGAAGCACAGAATCCTCTGGTCAGAATGGAGGAGTCCAGTGTTTAGGGGTTTAACAAGGAACATTTAACAGAGCAAAGGGACAACCAGTAATGAAATTAGTGATTTTACTGCCACATTTAGGCCCCATTTTAAAAAAAATAGTTTCTCTTTTAACCTAAATATTTCTTACGTCTGGATATTATCTCACAATTGAATCTGCGGTGGCTGGCCAGTTGATCCAATGGCAGCTAATACTAATAAAGAATAATAATCTTTGCATTTGATATGGCACCTCATCACATCTTCGAGACGTCTCAAAGCGCTTCTTAGGATATACTGTAAAGTGCAGTTTCTGTGTCATTTGAGGGCGAAACGCTGGATTCAACCCCGTTTAGTTGACCCATCGCCACTCCCAGCTGTTGTGGTCTTGGTCAGCTTGGGACTCCCTGGTGTAGGCGTAGGCCTATCAGTTTGTTGATGACTGTGAGGCCATTTGACTAGCGCGAGGCAAGGCGCTGTTTAATCAAGGTGATCCGGGAGGCTGGAGGGAGGGGGCAAGTTTCACTGTTGTGATTAACTGAATGACAATGGTTTTGAAACACATTAATGATGTGCTTTTCTTGACTGCAGGCCATGAATGTGGTGAGTATCCATCGAGCTTTATCGTCCCTCTCTGTGTGCATGCTCGTGCATGGTGCCGTCTTTAACCCTTTCCAGCCCAGGTCATTTCCCAGGACCTGTGCAGCAGTCACCTACCTGATTTAGTGATAGGCAGGTCATCGAATCATAGAATTTTACAGCACAGAAGGAGGCCATTCGGCCCATCGTGCCTATGCTGGCTCTTTGAAAGAGCTGCCAACTAGTCCCACTTCCCCGCTCTTACCCCGTAGCCCTGCAGTTTTTTTCCTTTTTAAGTACCTATCTAATTGCCTTTTGAAAGCTATTATCAAATCTGTTTCCATCACCCTTTCAGGCAGTGCATTCCAGACTAACAACTTTCTGAATAAAAAAAATTCTCCTCGTCTCCCCTCTGATTCTTTTGCCAATTATCTTAAATCTGTGTCCTCTGGTTACCAACCCACCCACTAGAAGAAACAGTTTCTCCCTATCTACTCTATCAAAACACCTCAAATGGTCAATCAATTTTTTTGGCCCAGTTAATTAGCTTCATATGGGAGGGGGTGGTGGGGAAACCTTGACTTTAACCAGACTAGTGTTTAGCCTCTTGTCTCAATCAGATGAACTGGCTGAGAAGTGTGTTGCTCTGAAACTGATGGACCTGGCTCATTGCCCTTCCTAGTTTTTGTGCTATTTACTCAATCGATCGTTAAGCACTGTAAATCAGCAGCCCAATTTGCATGATCAGTCAACCCAATGGGCTAAAGATCCATGCATGCCAGCCCCGATACTGACAGAGGGCTTAAAACATCTCCTCTCTGTATTGCTTCTCATTTCAGGCGGAGCAAACTAAGTTGCTTGTGAGCTGAAAGCACCTTCATAGCTTCAGTTTTGGTCAAACTCAGCCTAGAATGGGTAACCCCCATATTCTTCTGTTACTTTATTATACATGTATGGGTCAGTTACGTGTGCCCTATTCTCCTCTCTCCTTTACCCTCCCTCCACATTTCATTTTCGTTATGGTGTGTTCTGGTCCCAAGTTGCATTGGATACAACCCAGTCCAATACATTGGTGTAACAGCTCCAGCGAAGAGAGTCAGCCTCTCATTTTCAAGGCCGTTAACTTCAAGGAATGGAATTGTTGACTCTCTCTCATTCATTTTCACTGAAATGGATAGCCTCAATGAAATTCTGCAGGCAGATACTTTAGAGGAGTGCAATCTCTCTGTGAAAGATTAAGTAAGCAGCCAGCAAGGGGTTTAGGAGTAAACAGTGTGATGTAAAGCACTGAATTACTTTGGGTTGGCCTCTCATTGAAGATGGCCCTTGCAACCTGCTTAGACCTGCAGTTTTTAGCATTCAGGAGTGTAGGAGCAATATCTTAATAATAATCCTTGCATTTGATAAGTGCCTTATCACGTCGTTGAGACGTCTCAAAGCGCTTCACAGTATATACTGTAAAGTGAATTGCCTATTAAGATTTTCCCATTGAGAAACATGTTGATGGTGAATACCAATAAAATAAACTATTTGAAAGCCAGATGGAACCAGGCTAGTTCAGTGGTCACAACCCATTGTGATTCCCATTCTCTCCCCATTCCAGCTCCTGAGGTGACACGGTATGTTAGATACTGACATTTTATCTCTACTGGAATTTAATCTGGGGTTTAGATCAGATCTCCCAGCTCTGTTGGCATGCATCATCTAACTCCCCTTACCACTTCTATACCCCCAACCCCTACACAAACACACACACACATACAACAACAACAAAAATTGCATTTATACTGTGCCTTTCACAACGAGAGGACGTCCCAAGCTTACTCCTTTCTAACACAATAACCCCCTCACTGTGAAATGTTTTGGTGTCATTCCATATCACAGCCTCACAGAGTGCTCCCCATGTATATGTGGAACATAATAAAACTGGGATAAATAGACGCTATGGGATGTTAGCACAGCCTTTCATAGGATTACCTCTATAGGAACAGGAGTAGGTCATTCAGCCCTTCGAGCATGTTCCGACATTCTGTAAGATGGCTGATCTGTACCTCACTCCAATTACCCGGCTTGCCCCATATCCCTTGATACCCTAACAAATATCTATCCACCTTGAAATTGGCAATTGACCCAGCAGTCACAGCCTTTTGGGGGAGAGAGAGATTCCCACAAGCTTTTTCCACTACAACCAGTGAGTGGATTATCCCTGTAACCAGTGATGCCTGAGTATGTTAGAGGCTTCACTTGAGCACTGATCTCAGTTCTGCTTCCAACCAGTCGGTGCCCGAGTGGTGTGTCAGCTTGTGACACATCCATGTATCCCCCCTAACAAATACTTATAGATTTGTTCCCCTCCGCCTCCAGCTCTCCTTTGCCACTTATCACCTGTGTCTCAGGCAGATCCCGGGGTTTGTCATTTACCCCATTTTTGCCCCTGTTTTGCTGAGGGGGGTGAGGGTGAAGGACAGGGCTACTGAATGTTAGGAGGCTTATGAGCGGATGTTGAGCTTCCAGCAAGTGCTGGGCTGTGAGGTGTCGGACCCCAAACTGAGCGAGGAGTCAGTCAGTCAGTGCCCCTTTGAACGAGAACCAGTTGCAGTGTTTAAGGAGCGGTTAAGGAGGAGATGTCTAGCAGAAGATGGCGTGAATGGTTTCAGTTTCATCTTCGATTAGCAACAGTTGTTTTCCTGTGGCTGAGGATTGTGAGAGTGGAGCTAATCTGAATCGTAATGTTGTGCCCTCACATAGACCTCCTAGTGTCTGTGCCGCCCACAAGTGTTCCCCCGAGACTGGGGACCAGGGTGAGAGTGCCAAGCCCCTCACGTTCCCCAGGGGTATGTCCTGTCACACAATAGCCTTGTGACATTGTATCCTACCTCCCACCTGCCTGATCTGCCTGATTATTATTTATTTTGAATTGGAAAGATTGCAGTTTGGTGCCGTGGGGAATGGATCCTGTTGGGATCTGTGAAACGCAACGGATCATTCCATTTAAAGGCCAAAAAGATTGTTTGTGAGATAATGGTTTAGATGGAGGACCTTTACATAGCCTCAGCTTCTCTTCCATCTCTCTCTCTCTCTCTCTCTCTCCTTTCCTTTTCACTCACTCCCTCTCTCCACATGCGGTGCTCACCTTCTTCTGCTTCTTTTCAAGGATCAAGCCTCGAAAGACAAAGCCCTGCAGAACATGGCGGCTATGTCCTCAGCACAGATTGTCTCAGCGACCGCCATGCAGAGTAAACTGGGGATAACGCCACTCCCACAAGGCCCATATGTGGGGACACCCAGGGTAAGCCCACCTGATGAACCAACCCATTTCCCTCCACTGAAACCTGACAGTGGAGTTTAGACTTAATCGTAGATCTTACAGCACAGAAGGAGGCCATGTGGCCCATCGTGCCTTTGGAAGAGCTATCCAATCAGTCCCACTCCCCCGCTCTCTCCCCATATCCTTGCGATTTATTCCTTATCAACTCCCCCTCCAATTCCCTTTTAAAGTTGTTATTGAATCTGCTTCCACCACCCTTTCAGGCAGTGCATTCAAGAGCGTAACAACTTTCTGCCTAAATAAATATCTCCTAATCCCCCCTTTGGTTCTTTAGCCAATTATCTTCTCTATGTCCCCTGGTTACCGACCCACTTGCCAGTGGAAACAGTTTCTCCTCATCTACTCTATTATTTCAGCAACAAAAATAATCACATTCCATTCTTTCATCAATCAGCCACAACTGACACCTTTCACTCGCAATGCTACTCCCACTGCGATGAAATCTTGCCCGCATTCCCTTGACAATTGTTCCCCCCAGTGAAGTTGTCTCTCATTAGAGCACTGACTCACTCTCTGCCTCACCTGTGTCCCATCGCTTCATTCTAGGCTGGCTCAGAGGAGACTCATCTGACACAATAACCCAATGGCAATCGGACTTGGAGGCTATTGTCTTGAGAAGTCATCCACAGGATTCAGGCCATCTCTATGACTCCAAGTCTCATTGGCAATGGGTTACTGTGGACCCACCTGCTTTAAACCAACAATGGTTAGAGCCATTTCACGTGTGCTTTGTCATTACCTTTATTTTACTATGTAGCTACATCTATTGAATATGTTTGGAATCCTGTAGCGTAATGGTCAGCGTGCTCGCCTCACAAACGAGAGGACGTGGGTTCGTTTACCGGGCAGGGCGTTTCCTGACTCCACATGTCTAGGAACTGGTTGGTAGTCGATTAACGGATCGCGTCTCCGGGGTAATAATCTCTTCAATCCACGATGGTTTGTGGGACACTGCTGCGTGCAATTAGTTGCTGCGTTTCACCCACAAAAATGCACAATCAATCCACGATACAATATATCTTTGAAGCACTTTGAGACATCTCAACAACGTGATCAAGGGCTAAATCAAATGCAAGTATTATTATTATCTTAGAATATTCTGCGTGGCATTGACCCCGGGAGCCAGGGATACATGTCGGGCTGTGGGAGTTTGCTGCTGAAATCAATGTATCAATTGTATTTATCTGACACATGCGGAAACCCATCCAAACTAAGCTGAGAATTCCAGGCCTCCCACCTACACATGGAAATCCCAGAGATAGATTGTTGGAATGGAATGCGCTCTCTCTCTCTCTTCCTGGAGGGACACATCCTGCTTACATAATTCCGGAAAGTATTAGGCGCAGGTTGGTAAGAGCCAAGACCTCAGAGTATGCGTTGGGGTAGTTTCTGTAGTCTAACCAGCTAAAACAACGTAGCTTGACATTGCTTTGTCCAGCTGGGACCACCCTAACCATTAGGGGTTTGGCTGCAGGGTTAATAGGAGCAAGGTGGGATGACTCCCTGCCCCCAGTAACTGGTCTGCCCTTCCAGGTCCTGCCAATGAATTGTATTTGCTAATTGTGAAATATTATTTTGTTTTTATTGTTACAGTTTTGGTCAGGCCCTCTCCCAGGACAGCCTGGATCCTCACAGGAGTAAGTATCTCTCTGCTTTCCTAACAATCTAAAACAATTTGGCCCAAAATAATCTGAATTGTGGATCAGGCTTCAGTGAAATTCACAATGGGAGACCAAGCAAGACATGGTGACTGAAGGGTTGAAGGGATAAGCCTTGGGAGATGTTTGAGAGGAGGCAGAGAGGTGGTGACACCTCAGACTCAGGTGATGGGGAAGAGGGAGATGCAGAACCAGCGATACCAATCTGCAATGAGGAGAGTTGGGCAGGAAGGAGATTGGACATTGTTTTTTGGTTAGCCAGGTATCTTAACACAGGCAGAAATCCATCTCTATGCTTAAGAGTATCCAAACCAAACTGAGACTTCCGTGCATGCCAATGTGTTTGGGATGGATAAGGTGGGTCACACAATTGCTCCGTTAGCACTTACTGTATGAGGTCCCGTCTACCTGTTCACTACTCCAAACACTGTTAGAGAAGGGAGTTTCTCCCAGCGACCACATACGATTAATGAATCACTTCATGGCTTTTTGTGGGTTACTGCTGTGTGGATTAATAATAATAATAATAATCCTTGCATTTAATACAGCGCCTTATCACGTCTTCAAGACATCTCAAAGCACTTCACAGAATATACTATAAAGTGACTGTATATTTTGTGGACGAAACTGCAATCCTGTGAGGTGCTTTGAGTTGTTTCATCAATGTGATCAGGCGATGTATCCAATGCAAAAGGGGTAAAAGGTTCTTGGGGTTTAAACGTCCAGACATTTCAGCCAAGAAATGAAACAGCCTACACCTGCTCCCCCACCCTACATTGACCCTGTAAAGGGAATGGTTACTGTGGTACCTGTTGACTACCGGTAACTCTCGTTTCTTCTTCCTCCTGCAGCGTGAAGCCCTTCGGACAACCGACATATTCCATTCAGACAGCGGTGCCGCCCCCTGTAGCAAGTAAGTGCACTGCCGGGGGGAAGGATCCCAACAGCAACAACAATTGCCATTTATATCACGCCTTTCACATTGGGAGGAGGTCCCAAAATGCTGGACTGTTGAGGGTTTGCACCTGACCTGGGGGAGGTTGTTGACCACCTCACCCCTCCCACTACACCAACTATCTCCCACTCTCACCCAAATCATTCTCCAGCCCCCTTCCCTATCCTGACAGCAACAGATAGAGTGAGGGGCTCTTCTGAGCCGGATGGACTTGGTGATAAACTCCCAGCCCAGACCGCAGCTGAGACATTCAGATCCTGAGCTTTGCTGTGTTGCTGAGCTCAGTGGGACACCACTTAAGGCTTCAGATGGTATTTAATACCCTTGGATTATGGAGCAGGAAATCAGTCAAGGTCTCCACTTCTGATCACAATCCAAAGACCTCTCTCCGCTTCCCCACTATGTGTGCGTGTGCGTGTGTGCGCGTATGTGTGCGTGCGTGTATGTGTGCATGCATGCGCGTTTGTGTGTGCATGTGCGTGTATGTGTGTGTCTGCGTGTGTTTCTGTGCATGTGTGCGTGCATGTGTGTGCGCGCGAGTGTGTGCATAAGTGTACGTGTATGTGGACCTCAGTGACAATACTATGCTAACAGACCCCAGAAACTGTCCTCATTCACTGTGAAGGCTCACACATGAGCAATGGGCCATTGGACAAGAAACCTTGAGATGTTTTGATGAGGTGATAAGCCACTATATCAAATGAAAGGATGATTATTATCATTATTTATTATTGAATCAGGAGGCGTGCGTGTGGAACCAAACCTCAGGATGAGCTAGGCCTCTGGTTGGGTGGGGTGTGGTGGGAGTGTTCATTTCATAAACATTTTTTAAGTAACCTTTGAAACAAAGTGATTGTGGTGACCTGTAGCTCAGTGGTTAGAGCACTTGTCTCTCAAGCGAGAGGACCCGGGTTCGATTCCCGGGCAGGGTGAAACGTTGGGCAAGTTTCCTTACTCCACACACCTCTGTTTATGCAGCAATAAGTAGGAACCTGGTTGTTAGCCGATTGGCGGATTTCTTTTCTGGGGGTAATAATACCTTAAAAAAAACAATAATTTGTTTCTTTAATCCATGACTGTCTGTGGAACTCTGCTGTCCACAATTGGCTGCTGCCTTTCGCCAACAAAATATAGTCAATTCATTTTACAGTATGTTCTGTGAAGCGCTTTTAGATGTCTCGAAGACGTGATAAGCCACTATATCAAATGCGGGGATTATTATTATTGATTTTGTTCCTTGCTCACGCTGTAGGTTATGAGCCGCTGGGACCCCTCTCGCCGCCTGCAACAATCCCTGTATGGCAGGACCGCACCATCGCCTCCTCAAAGCTGCGGCTGCTGGAATATTCTGCCTTTGTGGAGATGCAGAGAGATCCCGACACGGTACCTCAGTGCAAGGATCCAAAACACAGAGAGAGCGAGAGAGAGATACATAGACACATGAAACATAGAAACCGGATTAGGCCTTTCAGCCCCTCGAGCCTGTTCCGCCATTCTATTAGATAATGACTGAACTGTACCTCAATTCCAATTACCTGCCCCTTGCCCCATATCCCTTGATCCCCTGACCTAACAAATGTCTATGCACCTCAGTCTTGAAAATGTGAATGGATCCAGCCATAATCCACAGCCTTTTGGGGGAGAGAGTTACGGATTTCCACTGCCCTTTCGGTGAAAAACTGCTCCTGATTTCACTCCTAAATGGCGAGAAAGGTAGAGAGATAAAAAGACAAGGACAGAGAGGCAAAGAGAGTTTGAGACAATAGATAGATTTTTTCAAAAAAAAACTTTGGTCACTCAATCCACGGCTGTTTTTATGAGACACTGCTGTGCACAATTGGATGCCGAGTTTTGCCCACAAAATGCAGTCAATCCGCTTTACAGTATATTCTGTGAAGTGCTTTAAGATGTCTCAACGCTATTTCAGATGCAAGGATTATTATTATAGATAGAGATGGAGTGAGAGAGAGACGTATAGAGGCACAGAGACACAAACACACAGAGGCACAGAATAGAGGGAGAATGAGAAAGATATAGAGAGAGGTAACGGAGAATGAAAGAGACACACGGAGATAGACACATAGATAAGCCTTTGAAATCTGTTCCGGTTTATTGTTCTGATTCTTTTTTGTAATTCATTCCTAGTGTCTAATAGATAATCTTCTGGGGGATGAGGAGCCAGTGGAGCCGGGCGAGGGTGGGGTTGATAGGGTTGCGGAGCCCGGTGCGGGAGAGGACATGAGTTCTGGATGATCTGCAGCTTGTGGAGGGAAGATTTGGGGAGGCCGACAAGCAGGGAGTTACCGTAGCCAAGGCTAGATGTAATAAATAATAATAATAATAATCCTTGCATTTGATATACCGCTTTTCACGTCTTCTAGACGTCTCAAAGCGATTCACAGAATATGCTGTAAAGTGAATTTACTGTATATTTGTGGGCAAAATGCTTGGATGAGGGTCTTGCCGGCCTGAGGGCAGTACGGAGCTGGGCAATGTTATAGAGGTGGGGAAAGGCAGAGCGGGTCATGGCATGGATGTGGGGTAGAAAAGCCAGTTGAGGTTCTGGACTGGCTCAGGGAGGTGGAGTGTGCATCCTTGGATGGTGATGCTGCCAGTGCCTGAGGTGTGCAGGCGCTCACGAGAACCAATCAGGAGGGCCTCGGTTTTGTTGATGTTCAACTGGGAAAAGAACTGGAGAGTCCTTGCTCTGTGCCCTCACTGTTACGGGGTATTGACTGCCCGAAAATACATGTGTGAGACCATTTTGTCTTGTTGGCTGCCATGCTTCACCCATAATACAGTTAATTCACTTTACAGTATATCCTGTGAAGTGCTTGGAGACGTCTCGAAGACGTGAGAAAGCACTCCATATAAAAAAAGCACGGATTATTATTGTTAGGTTTGGCAAAATATGAAAAATTCTTAAATCCTGCCTTAATTTTGATTCTCTGGTGGATGGGGAGTTGGGCGAGGGTGGGAGTGATGGGGTCGGGCGAGGGTGGGAGTGATGGGGTCGGGCGAGGGTGGGAGTGATGGGGTCGCGGAGTCTGGTGTGTGAGAGTACACGAGCTGCAGAGTTTTGGATGATCTGCAGTTTGTGAAGGGAAGAGTTGGGAAGGCCGATGAGGAGGGAGTTTCCATAATCGAACCCTGATGTGACAAATGCGTGGGTGAGGGTTTGGGCAGCCTGAGGGGTGAGGCAGTGGCGGAGTCTGGCAATGTTGCGGAGGCGGCTGTAGGCAGTGCCGGTCATGGCGCAGATGTGGGGGAGAAAGGACAGTTCAGGATCAAACAACTTGCAAATATAGCGCCTCTCACTCACACAGGATAACGTCCCAGAGCACTTGTGCAGTTACATCACCTGTCATGTCCCAAACTGTATACTATATACACTATAAAGTTTGGGCCTGACATGTGCATGTAACTGCAGGATGGTGTAAGCCGAACTGGATGGACCTTGGTCTTTTGTCTAGCAATTTCTATGTTCTAATGTAGCTCTCAGTCTCTCCTGTGCCCTGACAGTGGGGTGTGGGGGAAGCAATGAGATGTGGCCTAATGAAAGGCTTTCTTTCTTTACAGTACAACAAACACCTCTTTGTGCACATTGGTCAGACAAATCCATCCTACAGCGACCCGCTGCTGGAGGCTGTGGACATCCGTCAAATCTACGACAAGTTCCCCGAGAAGAAGGGTGGGCTGAAGGAATTGTTCGAGAAAGGACCACAGAATGCTTTCTTCCTCGTCAAGTTCTGGGTAAGAGCGCACACGTTCATACATGTTCACACACACACTCACATATGTTAAATTCCCACACTTACGCACATGTGTGCACATACTTACACTCACTTATGTGCGTATGTTTATACACATGCGTACGTGCACTTACACTCACGTGAGGATTTACGTACACATGGTGCACACACTTACGTGTATGCATACTTAGAGAGGTGTGCACAATTGAACAAATTCATGTGCACAGCTACACAAACATTATCACTCGCGTGGGCACTTGTGATGTGTGATAGCAAGTTGACAGGCTCCGCCATCATTGGTGTCCGGGGGGTGGATAAGAAATGGTGGATAAAATCCCCCCAAAGCCCATTCAATCAAACAACCAAACAAAACCCCTCAAAACTGGCACCAAAACAGAAGGCCATTTAAAAAAAAACTAGGCCGAAGGCTGCGGCTCAGCCCAGTGTGGCTTTCACTGTTATTACTGTTAAGACTTTTAGTTTGTAAAGAGTGTTGTGACACCTTAATCCCGAGTGGGGGGGAAAAAAACCTTTTGAGAATGGATGCAGGTGTTTGGAGCGGCGTCGCTATGGTTACCGAGTGTTGTTTTAAACGCTGCCTGAGGCCCGAGGCTCTTTCCCCAGCGCGGGCCTAGTTTGCATATCCTGACCTTTGCAACACTGCCTCCCTGTAGTTTGTCAGAGGCCCATAAATCACAGCTCACAACAATTAGTTCCGCCTTAACTCTCCTGCGCACTCAACCACTGACGGTGTTCTGAATCCTCACCAATTGAGAATATCAGTTCTGCTTCGTGGTAAAGGGCGTCCGCAGCTGACGTGAGGGAAGTTGGTACTGGGGAAAAGGCTCTGCTTCTCCCAGGTCTACTGCAGCGTGGGACGGGTGTAGAGCAACATCAACTTACGTTTATAGTGCCCCTCATGCAAGAGCGCTTGACAGTGTTGGAGTCTGACACTGAGCCTGGGGGAGGGGGAAGGTGACCGTAGGCACGGTTGAGGAGGAAGATCTTCAGGCGCGACCTGAAGTTGGGGAAGGAAGCGGCAAGGCCGAGGGATTGAGGGAGAGTGTTCCAGAGTTTCGAGGAGTATTGGCTGAAAGTGCAGCCGCTGATGGTGGAATGGAGGGCACGAGGGACAAGCAGTTCCTTTAAAGGACAGCTCCTGTAACATCACTTTGTTGAGTTGCAATCCCAATGTCTGCACCAACTTCCTGCGCTGGATGTTTTGTGTCAGTGGCTGTGTTGCACTAAATTTCCTCCTCCCCCACCATCCCACCCCACTGACTCACACACCTCCTCCTGGTGCTGGAGTGGGGGAGAGTCCCACACACTGGTTACCAATTACACCCCTTTAGTCCAGAGGAGAGAGCAGTTTCATCTCAGAGATCTGGAATGAATAAAGACAACAACAACAAATTACATTTGTAAAGACTCTTTCATGACGGGAGGACGTCCCAAGGCTTTGGCCAGTCAGGGATGTGGACCCAGAAGTGTAGGGAGGGTAGGGGTAGGAGGGTGGCGAAGGCGCGGTTGAAGAGAAGGGTCTTGAGACAGGCCTTGAAGGAGGCGAAGGAGGGGGCGAGGCAAAGGGGATGTGGAATCGAGTTCCAACGAGTGGGGGCAGAGAGGCTGAAGGCGAAGGTGGGGCGGGCTGGGAGGGGGATATGGAGCAGGCCGGAGCCTGCTCAGCGGAGGAAGTGGACAGATTGATATGGGGTTAGCAGGTCACAGAGGTAGGAGGGGGAAAAGCCGTAGAGGTCTTTGAAGGCGAGGACCAGGATTTTGAATTCTGTCTTCTGGGGGATGGGGAGCCAGCCTCGGGCGAGGATGGGGGTTGATAGGGTCACTGAGTCTGGTGCGGGAGAGGACATGAGCTGCAGAGTTCTGGATGATCTGCAGCCTGTGGAGAGAAGAGGTGGGAAGGCTGACAAGCGGGGAGTTAATGCAGTCGAACCTGGAAGTGTTGAACCTGCGTGGATGAGGGTTGAAAGTCCATTGTGTTAATCCACACACCAGGAGGGAGAGTGCGTGGGTGCCTCGTTTGTGTTCCCAATGGATCTTTCCCATGTACTGTATGTCCTGTCAGTCTTTCTACTTCCCCCTCATTTCAGAAGCTTCTTCTGCTTATTGTGTTCGTAGAGTTGTGTAAAGTTCTCGACTCGGCAGAGGGGAGTAACTGTCCAGTGATGGGGAGACTAGCTTCCTACTGGACAGGTTCCCACAACAGGCCTAGGAATCGTGGGGTCTCAGCGCCTTGGGACGTCTTCCTGACGTGAAAGGTGCTCGCTCTACAAATGTAATTTGTTGTTGTTGGGGTCAAGCCTCCAGTCATCAGCCTGTTGTTCAGAAGGTTGTGGGTCCAAGCCCCACGTCCCAGTTTGGTCTGATGCCCCAGTGCAGCGTTGTTTGAGGTGTGAGGTCAGACATTAAACCAAACTTCCTTTGTCTGTTGTGGATGTTAATGATCCTGTGATTCGCTTGAAAAGAGAAGGGAGTCCCAGCCGACAATCCTCCAGAGAAGTTGGTCACTCACTCCATGGTTGTGGGACTTTTGGTGCAGGAAATGTCTGCTACGTTTGCCTGAAAACACAGTAATTGTCTGAGATTGGCTTTGAGACATTCAATGTTATGGATGTTTTATCATACATAACTACAAATTCTTTCTCATGCAGCACTAACACTGCTCCCTCGTGGCAGATCAGTGAACTGTAGCAACGTTTTTCATTTCAGATTAGACTGACTGACTGAACAGGTCGGGGTAAAGGTGGCTAGGTCTGGATGTGTATGTTGCAGTTCAGTGTTTTTCAACAGAATCTCGTATGATCAGGGTTTACCCCCCTTTTAAGCTTTGCTTTTGTTGCCCTGGACCTTTGCCTACAAACTACATTAGTCCGTCACTGTCTCACACCACAGGCTGCCCAGACCCTCATACACACATTAATAACATCAGGTCATACAAACTCCCTGCTTGTCAGCCTCCCCAACTCCTGCATAGGCTGCAGATCATTCAGAGCTCTGCAGCCTGTGTCCTCTCCCGCACCATTCTCCGTGACCCTATCGCCCCCATCCTCGCCCGACTCCACTGGCTTCCCATCACACCGAGGATACAGTTCAAGTTCCTGGTCCTCACCTTCAAAGCCCTCCTTGGCCTTGGTCCCCCCTACTTCTGTGACCTCCTAAACCCCATACCAACCTACTCGCTCCTCCGCTCAACGGGCTCTGGCCTGCTTCACATCCCTACGCCTCACCTGCCCCACCATTGGCAAGCGAAACTTTAGCTACTCTGCCCCCACCCTCTGGAACTCCATCCCGCGGTCCCTCCGCCTCGTGCCCTCCCTTGCCTCCTTCAAGTCCCATCCCTTTGACCATGCCTTCAGTCACCCTCCTTCTCCCCCTGCCCTCCAATCTTCCCGATCCCGACCGCCAGATCGGGTCCAAAATACTGATTGCCCAGCACCTTGGGACGTCCTCCCAATGTGAAAGGCGCTTTACAAATGTAATTTTGTTGTTGTTGTAATCGGCTAGGATACGGGGAGAAACTCCCTTCTTTTTTCCAATAGTGCCATAGGATCTTTAACGTGACTGAATAGGCAGTTGGGACCTCAGTTTAATGTCTCATGAGAAGGGCAATACTTCCCTCTTGCAGCCCAGCACTCCCAACACTGACCTGGAGCATCAGCCTAGGTATCTAAGCTCAAAATCCCGAAGTGGAGCTTGGAACACAAGTATGTCTGTAAGTTCAAGTAATTGGAGTTGAGGTGCGGATCAGCCATGATAGAATGGTGGAACAGGCTCAAGGGACTGAATGGCCTACTCCTGTTCCTATGTTCCACAACCTTCCCTTTTAAAAGTTCTGCTAACTGAAGCAGGCTGACAGCCAACATTGTACCTGACCAGAATGACCTGGTGATTTGTGGTCTCGGCAGGCGGACCTGAACAGCAATATCCAGGACGGCCCGGGGGCTTTCTATGGCGTCAGCAGTCAATACACCAGCTCAGAGAACATGACCATCACCTGCTCCACCAAGGTCTGCTCGTTTGGAAAGCAAGTAGTGGAGAAAGTAGAGGTGAGTTGCCCTTTTGAGGAAATCTTCCCTGAAACCTGTGGGAACCTGGAGGGTCAATGGTGCTCTGCATTGTGCTTGAAGTGATGTATTCCATCCATATTGTGAGCACTGGAACCCCCATCTGTGTCTGGTGGCCCCCCTACGCTCTGTGGATCTCAGTCAGGCAGCTCCAATAGGCTGTGGAACCACAGGAATATACAGTACAGAGGGAGGTCATTTGGCCTATTGAGATAATGCTGACACTTAATCACATTCTCCTGCCTCACACAAGTACACAAACACACTTTTATATTTCTTCTTTGCAGATATTTATCTCTTTTCCTCTGAAAAGCTGATATCTCAGAGGAAAAACAAAATCTCCAAAAAATAAATAAATACATTTTTTTAAAAATAATAATAATTTGGTGACGGAACCCACGACTGTTTGTGGGACTCTGCTGTGCGCAATTGGCTGCCGCGTTTCACCCCAAAAATATACAATCAATTCACTTTACAGTACATTCTGTGAAGCGCTTTGAGACGTCTCGAAGATGTGATAAGGCGCTACATCAAATGCAGGGATTATTATGATTATTCTGTCTCAACCACAATTCCAGGTTGGACATTCTGCATCCTAATAACACTGCGTAAAAACATTTCTCTTAACCTCACCCCTCCTTCATCCTAATAATTATCTGTAATCAACACCCCCCAACCCCCACTGCCCCCCCAACCCCACTGCCCCCCCAACCCCACTGCCCCCCCAACCCCACTGCCCCCCCAACCCCACTGCCCCCCCAACCCCACTGCCCCCCCCCACCCCACTGCCCCCCCAACCCCACTGCCCCCCCAACCCCACTGCCCCCCCAACCCCACTGGCCCCCCAATCCCACTGCCCCCCCCCCCCACTGCCCCCCAACCCCACTGCCCCCCCAACCCCACTGCCCCCCCACCCCACTGCCCCCCCCACCCCACTGCCCCCCCCACCCCACTGCCCCCCCACCCCACTGCCCCCCCACCCCACTGCCCCCCCCACCCCACTGCCCCCCACCCCACTGCCCCCCCCCCCCACCCCACTGCCCCTCAGCCCACTGCCCCCTCAGCCCACTGCCCCCTCAGCCCACTGCCCCCCTCAGCCCACTGCCCCCCTCAGCCCACTGCCCTCCTCAGCCCACTGCTCCCCCACCCAACAGCCCCCAACCCTACTACCCTCTCCTCCCCACTACCTTCCAACCCCACTGCTTCCCAACCCTCCTAACCCCCACTCAGTAGTCCCCTCACCCTTCCACCACCCCATACTCTGGGGTCCCCAAGTCTTGTCTCTTGCCAACCTGCACCAAATACTTTCTTGAATTAGGTAAGCAGGATGCCTCCCTCCAGGGAGCGAGAGAGAGAGAGAGTGCATTCCATTCCAACAATCTATCTCTGGGATTTCTTCGTGTAGTTGGGAGGCCTGGAATTCTCAGCTTGGTTCGGAGACTCTTGTATATACACGTGTTGTTATTATTATTATTATTATTAATTAATTATTATTATCGATTATCATTGATTATTGTTGCTCCTCAATAATTATTATGAATTATTATCATCGCTGTTTCTGTATTCTGTGGCCCTACAGACAGAATACGCCAGGCTGGAGAATGGGAGGTTTGTATTCCGGATCCATCGATCTCCGATGTGTGAATACATGATCAACTTCATTCACAAACTCAAACACTTACCGGAGAAGTATATGATGAACAGCGTACTAGAGAACTTCACCATCCTGCAGGTGAGGGGTGCTCACCAGCACGTGCACCTGAGCCCAAAATTCCTTGGAGTCTGAACCTCAAGAGCATCATTCTCAATGTCTAAGATGGAGCAGAAATTTGGAAAATGCTTCAATTCAGTTTCAATTTGTATTTCCGCTTTACTTTTGTGCAGTCCCATTGCGTAGCGGTTCACACGCTTGCCTCGCAAGCGAAAGGACCTGGGTTCAATTCTGTGAAGCTCTTTGAGAAATCTCAATGACGTGATATCAATGCAAGGATATACCTCAGTGAGCGAGCAGTAAACCTGTGGAACAGGCTCCACAGGGAGACAGACGGTGGAAGCAGAAAATGTCATTTGTTTCAAGAATAAATTAGATAGAATTCTGCTAGAAAATAATATCTCGGGATACAATGAATGGATGGGACACAACATGTGATAAGGCACTATATTAAATGCAAGGATTATTATTAATTTTATTATCAACCGACTGCCAGGATGGCGGAAGGCGAACTAGATGGACTTTGGTCGTCTTATCGCCTGGAAAATTCTTATGTTCTTATGATTATTATTATTATTAAATGCCTCTTTTGATGCTGAACCAATCTGTGTTGCTCTCTCCTGACAGGTTGTGACCAATCGTGACACACAGGAGACGCTGCTGTGTATAGCCTTCGTATTTGAGGTGTCGACCAGCGAGCACGGGGCACAGCACCATGTTTACCGCCTGGTGAAGGATTAAAGGCTTCCTCCCCTCACCCCGACTCCAAGGGTGCCAACACCCGGCAATTATATACACACCCCAGTGCGTGCCTGATCGATTTTAACCAACACACACACAACAACAAAAAGTCTATTTTTCACAGAAATACAGATATTTTTACATTAGAACAAATGTAAAAAAAAGACAAAAAATAACTGATGAACTGTTATGAAGTCAAAGAACAAATCTGCACTACTTCTGCGATGGTCTATATGTCCAATTCTCTCTCTCGCGCGCACGCTCTCTCGCTCCAAACTCCAACACTCGAGAGGAATCGGCATTGTAGCTTTTCTTCTTGATTCAGAAAAGAAATGACACATCAGGGATTGTTAGTATTGGATAAACGGGTGTCATTGTCGTGGTTTGTGTGTAGGAACGTTCTTCTGTATTACTGTTGATGGGATGTCAGGCATAGAGAAAGTTACATTGTAAAACGACTAGACTATCTACCCACTGGCTGTCCACCCACCCCACCCCAATGGTGAGTGGCCTGGGCTGAGCTCAATTGTGACCCATTACCTTGGACATTTCAGGACATTTAGACACAGGTTTGGGAAAGTGGGAGAAGAGAATTAGCCGCTATTTGATCGAACCGAAACTGGGTGTTCCACTTCTAATTCCGTGTCCTCCCTCCCTCCCTCTCTTTCTCTCTCTCATACTACCTGTCTTCTCACCTACCTTCACCCTCTCTCTACCTCCCACCTCACAGCCCTCTCTGGCTCCAAAGCCCTCAACTCAACCTCCCCTCTGCTTCTCTCTCAACCACTCCCAACCCCCCTCCACCCCTTCAGTATTGATGGGCGTGGGGGCAATTTTGGACAGATATGAGATTCACCTTAATATCCTGATCAGAGGTAAAGAGGGCTTTTTACAACTGCAAACCACAGTACACCGCCCTCCCCCCACCCGCACACACATATAATTGCCCATCTGGATTACATATGTGCAACAAATTTAAGCAGCACTTATTACAAATAACTTCTACCCAGGTATCTCCCTCCCTGCGGTATTTGCATGGTGAGAGGGTGTGAGAGAGGTGTTGAGACACTGTTTTGCTGGGAGCAGTGTGTTGGATTCAGGAACTGGTGGAGTGAGATTCTGGCTCTCCATTTGTGTGAAGGACTGTATGTCTGTCTGTGTGATTTCCCGCTGAATACCCCAACTCTGCCCCGAAAGCTTTTCGTTTGTAATTATTTATTTTAATTTTTTTAACGGGATTTACAGGGCTGTTGCCAAGCCTGTGAAGGTCTCTATCCACTGCCCTAGAAAGTGAGGGAAAGCGGTTGTGGTGTGGGTGGGAGGCTGCTCTGATTTACACAACGCCTTTCACATCGGAAGGACATCCCAAAGAGCTGCACAGTTAAGGGTTTGTCCCCGAGCTGGGGGTTGGAATCAAGAGGGGTGGAGAATAGAGGGGGTGGAGGGTGGCAAAGAAGGCATAGTCAAAGAGAGGTTTTGAGATTGGCCTTGAGGCGAGGGAGGGGGTGAGGTGGAGGGATTTGGAGATAGAGTTATAGAGAGTGGGGGCAAAAAAGCTGTTGGGCCCGACTGCTGATGGTGGGGCGGGCAGGTCGGGGACCTGGAGCAGTAACCAGTGACTCCCAGCTGTAGTGAACCCCCAGCGAGTTTCAGACCTCAATGGGGAGGTTGAGAGGAGAGTTGTCCTGTTTGAAGGCATGTAAATGGCATGTATATTATAGACAATAATCAGCTCCTCAGAAACAGCTGATTAATCTGGAGGAGGTGTGGCGGCCAGGGGAGGACAATCAATTAATATTAGGACAAAATAGAGTCTTTTGAAAAAAAATCTAACCTTTTATATTTAAGTCCTGCGATTTTTGGGGACAAAATAATGTCAGGGTTCGCTGTTACAAACAGCCCTAATGAAATAGCCTTTAAACCCGTGGTCAATGTTGACTGAATGAGAGGATGATGTTGTGTTCCCAGTGTTGCATGGTTTGAGCAGTATTGCAATGTGTTCAGAGTGTTGCACAAGCAGTGGGAAAAAGTTGAATGTTGTAACCAGCTCCTGGTTGTCAGGATCTGACTGTTAATATCGTGGAATCCATTTTTGTTAGCGTCATGGAGGGTAATCAACAGCTGGGATGGGTTAGAGACCTGAACACTGGAGTTACTATACTGAAGGAATGGTGTGATGCTGTGATGGGAGCACGTCAAGGTGGGTGGGGAGTTTATGGAAGGATGAGATCAGGTGAGCAAAGGGTATTCTTCCTTCATCTTGAATCTCTGCGTTGATGAGGTTTTAACGTTGATTTTTTTGACTTGTTTATAATGTGGTTTATCGTCAGCAAGTGCGGGAGAGGGTACTCTGTGTAAATATAATAAAAAGTTTGGACAATTATCCCTCAGAGGTGAATACGGTAGATATCCCTCAGAAACTAAGAGGCAGTGAGAAAGACGGTGAGGTAATGTACAGCATTACAGTGTGATTTTAATCTTGTGAAAGGTTAGGTCAGGGAAGCGAGCAGAGAAGAGTTTAGCTTCAGAGTTGTTGGGTCATCTCTCAGTCGTAGTGTCCAGGTAAAACCATGTGTTCCTGCCCTCGATACCTCAGGTAGTGAGTGAAGCCACTATCAGGGTGACCCTGAGACAGGCAGACAGGCCAGGGCAACCCCAGATTGCCTGTGTGGCACATAATGAGTCAGGCAATCAGAGCCAAGGGCCCCAGTCAGATCATCACAATTAGCCTTCATGTCCATAGACATCCAGTGAGAAACATAGGAAGAGGAGACCATTCAGCCCCTCAAGCCTGTTCCGCCATTCTATAAGATTATGGCTGATCTGTACCTCAACTCTAATTACCCGCACTTGCCCTATATCCCTTGATGCCCTGACCTAACAAATATCTATCCACCTCAGTCTTGAACATTTGAATGGATCCAGCATGCAAGAATAGGTTTAGACTCAGAAGCAGTATCCCTCTCTATAGACACTTACTGACACTCGCTGTCTAGGTTTACGCATGAAGGGCGGCCACTGGGTGGCAGGGGGTAAAACCAATGCACGCCAGCTCCTTCAGGGAAAGAGGGGATATGAGGAAACAGACAGTTATGGCTACCGTCAACATTGTGTGCAGGATGTGAGAATGAAATAAGGCGTCTTTTACTGGGCTGTGTGTGGAAGGTCTCTGCCATTATTCAGATATGAGCGTTGTTGGGAGTGAGTGTCAGCACTCCATTTAATCTGTACGGGATTTAGCAGCCAAGCCCAGGTTCCTGATCCTGAACTCCCTCCAAAAGTCCTTGCTGTAAGTGAGAGCAGGGAGCGAGCAGGGCTGCTTTGGGCCCCTGTTATTTCCCTTCCTTAGACGAGGGGACATTGAGTCTCAATTTTAGAGCCTGAACCTTGCCGATCTATCTGGCTCAGTGTTCACTGGAGAGACTCACTGAGCTATTGTAGGGGGAGCACCTCACTGTGTCCACTTTGATATCATGTTTCCCGTGCAGATCCTCAGTGCCTTACAAACTGAATGTTTGCAACACACCATTCTCATGGATCTCATTCTATAGGAATGATCATGTCAGTCCTCAAGAGCAATCCTCTCAGTCCTATTTCTCCGCACCCATGTAACTGATGCTTTTTAACTTTCCTCTTGAAGGCCACCGTTCCAAGCAGGACATCCCATATCCTAACCACTCTGTCGGTGAAAGGTTTTCTCCTAACCTCCCCATTTGCTCGATCACTGCCTATCTTAAATTGATGCCCTCTAGTTACTGACTCGCCAACCAGTGGAAATAATTTCTCCCTATTGACTCTTATCAGAACTCCTTATACTTTTAAAGACCTTGATCAGGTCAACCCTCAACCTTCAGAGCAGAGAAATTGGGGAGTGTTTGGGGATGGGAGGGGGAGACAGACACAAAATCATTGGATGTTCATTCTTCCTACTTGGACACCAGTTTGGAAGGTTTGGGTGTTAAGATAAACAGGTCTCCACATATCCCTTTACCCACAATAATCCTGCCAGCGAAGGACTACCTCTGTGAATATTAAGTTGCAGCTTAAATATTAAAATAAGTCTTGTTCCCTTTTAAGGACAGACCGTATATACAGTATATATATAATACGTCAGGAAGGCAAGATGTTAAAGAGTGTGTAGATTGCCAGCAGCCAATCAATAAAGCAATCACTTCTTTAATTTAATTTCTTTTAAAGCCAAAATTAACATTCTTTTATTTTAAAGAATGTAACAAATAGCGGGAGTGGAGGGATTAGAATTCTAGCGGGTTCTTTTCTATATATTCTATATATATATATTATATATATGACGTATAAGATGCACTCACAGGTGATACCTGGGCATTGATACATTTGCGTATTGACACCCGGGGCTGAAATTCCAGATTGACTCAATTAACAGTAATTCAGAGAATCCACAATGTAGCAAACTGTTGGATTCAAGTTGTTTTTCTGCAGGTCTTAAAATAAACAAAAATAAACAAAAATCCGGCTTCACCATTGAAGCTCTATGTACAGGGTGACCAAATAGTTGTGAAGCTATCCCATTATCTAAAAACAAACAAAAATATCCATCACTTCTTTGAGACTTACTAGACATTGTAATGGTGTCGCAACTTTTTGGTCACCCTGTACATAAGAATTTACAGAGTTCTTTACATTCTGAAACAACACGTTAACTGAGTAAATCTTGTGAAATTTTGCCCCTCTAATTTGTTACTGATATCACCTAGCACTTAACTTTGCTGTAAATATCTTGTGCATAATCTTGCTGTTGTGGCTAGTCAGAGCCACGCTCACATTTACTCAACCTCCTTTTTGTTAGCCTGGACAGAGAGTGTTTAATCTCCTGCAATATAATTGGTTGTGTTTTGCGGCGAGGGAGGGAAAACAAAATCCAGCTTCTAAAATACTTTAAAACCAATTCTTCTTTCGGCTTCAGGAAACTGGGTTCAGGCCCGAGCCAATCTGATGGGAGCCATTTGCATGCACTTTGGCAGCTGATGAGGTGGGATGTTGGTTTGACTACCTGTTGGGGTCATCTATGTTCCCTTCAATGGTACGCAGCGTAAAGGTAATCCTTTCCACTCTGTCAGTCTTGCTCAGGGAGAGGAAGAGAGAAACAGAGAGAGAGAATGTGGGAAACATGAAAAGTCAAAGGTTGTGAGGTTGTGTAAGTGCTGAGGGCTCATGGATAGATCAACTCTTTGGAGACGCCTTTTCACTCCAGAATTTATAGAGGGAAAGAATGGTCTGAAAGATCTCATTAAGAAAACACAGCAGGGAGTTAGAGAAAGGGGCTTGACGTTGTAGTTCTTTGGAATTTATGTCCAAATTCTCCATTGATGGAGGCACAGGCCTAAAGCTTACTGCTGTCCCATGAAGATGTCAAGTTGATGTAAAAATGGCCCTCAAAGTACTTGTTATCTCCCCCCCACCCACCCCCCCAACCCACAAATGACTCTCTCACGCTTGATGAAATCTAATGAGATTGGCAAACTGTGAGCTCCTCTAATAATAATAATCCTTCCATTTGATATAGTGCCTTACCAGGTTGTTGAGACATCGCAAAGTGCTTAAATGGTCCCAAATGGCTGGATGCTGATTTGCATTGGCAGGACTCCAGTGTTGTCTTTTATTTTTTAAATAATAACAGATTTAAAACTTAAAAAAAAAAGCCAGGATATGTCAATAGGATTTTTTTTAGTAAATTATATTTTTAAAGTACTTTTTTTTTGTAATGCTGTCTGTGAAGGCTGACAAAAAGGACTTCCTGTATTCTTACCAATTTGTATTCCTCGATCATTGTATTGGAAACCATTTTGTCCTTCTTGGCTAACAGTTGTGTGTGTGTGTGTGTGTGTGCCTGTGTGTGCGCGCGTGTTTTTTTTAAGAGAAACTTCTCACAAAAGTAAGGTACATGTGCAACGTGTGATTAACTTCAGTTTGTGCTCAGCTCCGCTCCTTAATGCAGTTCGGGGTACTGATCAGACCAGACCAGACCACACCAATGCCTCACCTGGAACAGAGGTTTTACCTCTGATAAAAAAATACTGATACCCATTTAAGGAGATTTTGAGATGGGCCGTTATCGTTTCAGTGAGTCATACTTGATTGCATACTGTTTAATTGTATAACAATCCCTCTTTCCCTCCCCCCACACCCCAAAAAACTACTGTGGATCGTATTTCTAACCCGCCAACATAACTATAAAATTTTCCCTGTTGTATTTCCTTAGCTGTTATTTTACACCTCACAAATTAGAATTTACGTAGTTTTTAAAAAAAAATGCAACATTTCCCTTACTCATCACCTCAGGGACAACAACATTACTCCCCCCTCCCCACCCCCCACCAGATTTTGCTGTTCCCACAGTGCAGTGGAGGGCACTTACCCGCAGGGGGCAGCACTGCCGCCATGTTTTGATACAGCACCTTCCACATCGGGAGGACGTCTCAAAGCGCTTCGCAGGATTTACTGTAAAGTGTTGTGACTGTATTTTGTAGGCGAACTTGCACAAAGCACCAGAATTGGCCCCACTACTGTACTACATGGTCTGATGGAGCTCAAGTAATGATTTTGTTAGGCAATGTTTGTATTGTCCTCATCATCTGGGAGGGAAGTTGCAGTGAGTTACTTGCAGTGGGTCAATTATGTTCAATGGCAATTTCCCTAAACTGTGTATTTTCGATGAAGACCTTTCTTCTTTTTCCCCTCTAAGCCATATTTTTGTCACATGGTGAAAAGGTAATTTGAAATAGTAACAGATGTGTTAATGCGTGATGATTTTTCTGTGTATAATATTTTTTTCTCTCTGAACTGTGAGGGGTTTTTATTATATATTCACTGCATCTGTCCGTCAACCCACCTCGGTGCCTTCAGAGCCCAGGACCTTAACAACACAATAAAGTTTTGTTGATGGTTGTGTCTGTACTGTTCTGTGTGCAATGTGTGTGTGTGTTTTATTGGAAGAGGGTGTGTGGGAAGAAAAGAGGTATTTTATAAGAGTTGGGGGTGGAGAGATGCAAGCTGAGCGCATAGAATTCCCTCACCCCCCAACCCTCCCATCCAAAGCCCACTCCAGCGACTTTGCTTGGTGTGAACCGGCATTATAGAAATAGTAATAATCCTTGCATTTGATTTGGCGTCTTGTGTCATTAAGACATCTCAAAGCGCTTCACAGAATATACTTCTTTTCAAAAAGTTCTGCGGGATCTTTAACATCCATCTGAACAGGCAGACGGGACCTTGGTTTAATGTCTCATCCGAAAGGCGGCATCTCCGCCAATGCAACACCCCCCAGCACTGCACAGGAGCATCAGCTTAGACTGCGAGTTCAAGGAATGGGGCAGAGGCTGTTGCTTCCCTGTTGACTCAAAGAAAGAACTGCTGCTGGGGAGGCAAGCGCACAGGGCATTCCCGTCCCCTTCTGCTAATTTCCCTGTATATTGCACCCTCTGCCACCACCCTTAATCATAATTATAATCCTTGCATTTGATATAGCACCTTATCACATCTCAAAGCGCTTCATATACTTTAAAGTCTGTACTTTGTGGGTAAAATGTTGTGGCAGCCAATTGCGCACAGCAGTATCCCACAAACAGTCGTGAGTTGAGTGACCAAATTATCATTTTATTTATTTTTAAGGGATTATTACCCCCAGAAAAGTGACCTGCCAATCCATAACCGCTAGGGAAACTGAGGCATGTGGAGTAAAGAAACTTGCCCAATGTTTCACCCTGTCCAAATGTGTGTCCCTCTGGCCATCTCCAGTGGAATCCTGTAGTTCAGTGGTTAGACCACTCACCTCACAAGAGAGAAGGCCTGGGTTCAATTCCGGGGCAGGGTGAAATGTTGGGCAAGTTTCCTTGCACCACACGCCTCTGTTTACCCAGCAGTATGTAGGAACCCAATTGTTTGTCGATTGGCAGATCCTTTTCTGGGGGTCACTTAAAAAAAATTACACCTTCTAGAAGTCACAAAGTGCTTCACAGAATATACTGTAAAGTGAATTGACTGTATATTTTTGTGGGCGAATCACAGCAGCCAATTGTGCACGCACACAGTCATGGCCAAATTATTATTATTGGTTTTATTGAAGGATTATTACCCCTGGAAAAGTGATCCGCCAATTGACTGACACTTGGGTTCCTACTTACTGCTAGGTAGACAGAGGTGTGTGGAGTAAGGAAACTTGCCGAACATTTTGCCCTGCCCGGGAATAGAACCCAGGTCTCTCCCTTGCGAGGCGAGTACCTCTGAGCTACAGGACTCCAAAAAGTGGATTGACTTATTGATTTTGTGGTTGAAATGCTGCTGCATAGTGCCAGTTTGTGCACAGCTGTGTTCAACAAACAGCTATGAAGTGAGTGGCCAATATTTGTATCTGGGTGATTATTGGCCAGGACACCAGAAGAGAGAAACCACCTTCTGTTTTTGAATAGCAACGCGAGATCTTTAACATCCAACTGAACAGGTAGACAGGACCTCGGTTTAACACCTCATCTGATGGACATTACCTCCGACAATGGACCAGCCCACCCCCCACAACACCGCATTGGAGTGTTATCTTAGATCGGGTGACCATACGTCCCTGATTTCTGGGGACAGTCCCAAGATGAGGTATTGTGTCTCTGGGGCCAAATTTGCACTGTCTTGATATTGTTCAGAACAATAAAATACTAAAACAGTTACTCTCATTAGAGAAACCAGCTATTAATTCAACGCACTTCTGCAGTACGGCAGCGTCAGCGATTGTGGTGAGTTCAACTTGGTTTATAAACGTGCCCCCAGATTTGGTTTATTGAAGAGTAACAATCCCTTCCAAAAAATTAAATGAAAATAATAATTTGGTCACTTCAGTCCATGACTGTTTGCGGGACGCTGCTGTGTGCAATTGGCTGCCGTGTTTCACCCACTTAATATACAGTCAATGCACTTTACACTGTATTACATGAAGCGCTTTGAGACATCTGAACGATGTGATAAGGCGCCATATCGAATACAAGGATTATTATTATTACAAATTCTGGTCACCCAAGAGTTAGATCACGTGAGTTCAAGTCCTGACATGAGATTCGAACCCACGACCTCCTGACTCCAGACCCGGGCTGAGCCGCAGGCAATGTGCGCGCGGGGCTTGCCGGGAGAGGTCGGCAGGCGCGAGGCTTGCTGGGAGATGTAGGCGGGGCTTGCTGGAGGTGCAGGTCGGCGCGAAGCTTGCTGGGAGCTGTAGGCAGGCGCGGGGCTTGCTGGGAGCTGTAGGCAGGAGCCCGGGCCGGGGGGGACTACAATTCCCGGCATGCTGCGCACGAGTCCCGGGAGTGGGAGTTGCTCGATGTCTGACAGGAGCCCCAGGGGGAGCGGCGAGGAGCCGCCACAGAGGCGGAGAGAGAGCCGGAGGCCGCAGGTCAGTGCCGATTCCCCCGCACTGTGGTGGGTGCAGGGCCGTGAGGCTGGGGCCTGAGGTGAGGCGGCGGCGCATTGCAGGGGCAGAGCGGCCCAGAGCAGCCCCTCACCCCCGCCCCCACCCGCTAGTCCCTCACACACCGGCTCCCCCCCTCCCCCACACCCCCTCCCCCAACCCCCCTCCCCTATACCCCCTCCCCCACATCACCTCCCCCCCACCCCCTCCCCCACACCCCTCCCCCCACACCCTCTCCCCCCACACCCCCTCCCCCATCCCCCCACACCCCCCCACCCCCTCCCCTATACCCCCTCCCCCACATCACCTCCCCCCAACCCCCTCCCCCAACCCCCTCCCCCATCCCCCTCCCCCATACCCCCTCCCCATACCCCCTCCCCCACCCCTCCCCTATACCCCTCCCCCACCCCCCACCCCCTCCCCTATACCCCCTCCCCCAACCCCCTCCCCTATACCCCCTCCCCCACACCCCCTCCCCTACACCCCCTCCCCCATACCCCCTCCCCCCACACCCCCTCCCCTATACCCCCTCCCCTATACCCCCTCCCCCACACCCCCTCCCTCCCCTATACCCCCTCCCCCAACCCCCTCCCCCACACCCCCTCCCACACACCCCCTCCCCTATACCCCCTCCCCCACACCCCCTCCCTCCCCTATACCCCTCCCCCAACCCCCTCCCCCAACCCCTCCCACACACCCCCTCCCTCCCCTATACCCCCTCCCCCAACCCCCTCCCCCACACCCCCTCCCCCAACCCCCTCCCCTACACCCCCTCTGTTCTGTGATAGGGAGCCAGTGGAGCCTGGTGTGGATTGGTGTAACGGGGTACACAGTTTTGAGCGGATATATTCCAATGCCCTCCTTCCCGGTCCCTCTGGGGAGACCGGTGAGGAGGGCATTGGAATAATCGACACAGGAGGTGACAACAATAACAACAGCAAGATTACATTTGTATAGCACCTTTTAAGTCCGGAGCAGCATTTCAGACCCGAGCTGGGGTCAGAGGGGGAGAAGGGAGCAGAGGGGTAGGGGGGTGACCGATGACATGGTCGAAGAGGAGGGTCTTGAGGTGGGACTTGAAGGAAGCTAAGGAGGGGGCGAGGCGGAGTGATTGGGGGATGGAATTCCAGAGGTTGGGGGCAGAGTGGCTGAAGACTCTCCCGCCAATGGTGGGGCGGGTGGGCTGGGGGACGTGGAGCAGCCAGAGCCGGCTGAGCGGAGGGAGCGGGCGGGTTGGTAGGGGGTTAGGAGGTCGCAGAGGTAGGGTGGGGCGAGGCCATGGAGGGCTTTTAGGTGAGGACCAGGATCTTGAACTGGATCCTCTGAAGCATAGGGAGGCAGTGAAGTCGGGCGAGAGTGTGGGAGATGGGGTCACGGAGTTTGGTGCAGAGTTCTAGATTATCTGCAGCCTGTGGGGGGAGGAGTTGGGAAGGCCGACACGCAGGGCGTTTGCAATCGAGCCGGAGGTGATGAAGGCATAAACAGGAGTTTCAGTGGCCTGAGGGGTGAGGTAGTGGTGGAGTCGGGCGATGTTACGGAGGTGAGGGAAGGCAGAGCGGGTCATGGCCTGAATGTGGGGAAGAAAAGACAGTTGAGGGTTGAACAAGACACCCGGGTTCCTGACTGACTGGTGAGCTGTAGTGTACACCATGGAGGGCGATGCTGCCGGAGCCTGAGGTGCTGAGGCGCTGCCGTGAGCCGATCAGGAGGGCCTCAGTCTTGTTCACATTCAACTGTAGGAAGTTTGCCCTCATCCAGGACTTGATGTCCCACAGACAGTGTCAGGACAGCAGTGGCCCTGGAGTTGAGGGTGGGGGCAGAGAGATAGAGTTGGGTGTCATATGCATACATAAGGAAGTTGACCCCATGTCTGTGGATAATGTCACTGAGGGGGAAAATGTAGATATTAAAGAGAGGGCCAAGGACAGAGCCAGATATGACAGTGCGGGCGCTGGAGGAGAAACCGTTAGAGGGAACAAAGTGGAGACAGTGAGAGAGATAGGATTCGATCCAGGCAAGGGCAGGTCCGCGAAGATTAAATAAGGAGGAGAGGCGGTGTATGAGGATGGAGTGTTCAATAGTGTCGAAGGTGGCAGAGAGATCGAGGAGGACAAGGAGGCAGAGGAAGCCCTGATCACAGATGTTCAGAGCTGTTTCCGTGCTATGGGCAGCGCGGAAGCCAGATTGGGGGGTTTTAAAGAGGGAATGCGAGAGAGAAAAGAGCGGAGCTGGGATGTGACAACTCGTTCCAGGACCTTGGAGAGGAATGGGAGGTTAGCGATGGGGAGATAGCTGGAGAGGAGGGATGGGTCCAGGGAAGGTTTTTTCAGAATGGGGGTGATGACGGCTGTTTTTAGTGGGGTGGGAACTGAACCGGTGGACAAGGAGAGGTTGAAAATGTCGGACAGGAGAGGGGCCAGAAGTTGGAGCTGGGAGATGAGGAGAGAGGTGGGGATGGGATCGACGGAGCAGGTGGTGGGTTTGAGTTTGTGAACGATGGTGGTGAGGGAGAAGGGAGAGATAGGGTCGAAGGAGTATAGGGGGGGATGGGTGCGGGGGGGGATTCATGAGGGAGAGGTTGTATGGGGCGGAGGTGGACGGGGCAGAGATGGCTGAACTTGGTCCCTTGATTTTGGATTCGAGGAAGTCCAGCATTTCCTCACAGTTGGAGTTTGAGGAGAGGATGGGCAAGGCGTGGGAAGGTGGATGGAGGAGACGGTTTGTGATGGAAAAGAGAAGCCTGGGGTTGTCCTTTGCCTCCAAGATAACCTTGGAGTAGTAGGAGGATTTGGTGGAGGCTAAGAGCGCAGCGGTAGGTCTTGGTATGATGGAGCCAAAGCTGCCGATGAACCGTTAGTTTGGATTTGGTCCAGGCGCGGTCAGCAGCTTCCATTTGTTCTTTGAGGGAACGGAGATGGCTGGTGTACCAGGGGGATTTATGGGAGTATGAGGCAGTTCGGGAGGTGAGGGGGGCAAAGGAGTCTAGAATGGAGGAGAGGGAGTTGTGGAGAAAATAGAGCAAGGAGGTTAGATCGGTCAGTGAGGGCCAGAGGTGTAGGAGTTCAGACGACTCCAGGGCAGTGGAGAAGGAGAGGGAGAAAACGTTTTTCCACAAACGGTATGTGATGGTAGAGGGTTGAGAAGGGGGAAAGGGTACGGAGGTGTTGAGGGAGATGAAGTGGTAGTCCGAAATGGCTTTGAAATGTTGATGTCCGAAAGGGTGAGGCCCCGGGTGATCACCAGGTCAAGGGGGTGGCCACGATCGTGGGTGATGGAGTGGATATGGAGGGAGAGGTTAAGGAAAGAGAGGAGGGAGGAGAAGACAGCAGAAATAGAGCAGGAGGGGGTGTTCAACTTAGGTTGAAGTCGCCTAAGATTAGGAGGCGTTCAGAGCAGAGGGAGAGGGAAGATAGGAGGGTGGAAATGTCCGAGAGGAAGATGGGGGAAGGCTTAGGGGGACGGTAAACAAGGAGGATTTTGAGGGAAAGCCTTGAGGGGTGGAAGAGGGTAAGGTGTTCAAAGGAGGGGAAGGTTCTGGAGGAGTAAGGGGAAAGGCCGAGGGGGGACTGGGAGATGAGAGCCACACCACCGCCATGGAGATTAGGCCTTAGGGTTTGGTGAAAGGTGTAACCCGGAGGTGTGACTCGACGAGTGGGAGGGTGTTGTTTGGGGTGACCTCGGTTCCAGTGATGGTGAGCATGTCAATGATTTCCTTGACGATGAGGTCATGGATGAGGGTTTCGGCTGCGGTGGGTGTGAGGTACGGTCAGAGGCGGATATTGGAATGGAGGTGGAGGAAAGCATCCTGATCAGGAACCAGATTTGGGGTAGAAAGGACAGTTGGGATTCGACCCCAAATCTGGTTCCTGATCAGGATGCCTAGGTTATGTACGGGCTTGGTAAGTCTTAGTGAAAGACTGAGGAGGTCAGAGCCGCAGGAGAGAAGATGTTGACGGGAGTCAAGGGGTATGGCTTTGTCTTGTCGACGTTCAGCTGCGGAAAGTTTGCACTCATCCGGGCCTTGGTGTCTGACAAACAAGCTAACACAACATCAGCGGCGCTGGAGTCGCAGCGGGGAGGAGAAGTAGATTTGTGTGTCAACCCCATTAATGTGAAAGATGTGGATGACATCGCCGAGTGGGAGCATGAGAAGGGGTCCAAGGATGAAGCTGTGTGGTATGCTGTAGGTGGTCTGTAGGGAGCTAGAGTAAAAAAAACATTTGTGGAGACAAAGTGAAGGCAGTTGGCTAAGTGCGGCTTGAACCACATTTGTGCGGCCCCACTGAGGTGGATGAGGGAGGAGAGGCGGTGGAGGAGGATGGCATGATCGACTGTCGACTTCAGCAGGAGGTTCAGGAAGCAGAGAGAGCCTGGTTACAGAGAGAAGACGTAATTTATGACTTACAAGCACTGTCTCTATGCTGTGGACAGGGCGGGACCCGGACTGCAGGGGCTCATGGAGGAAGTGGAGGGAGAGGTGTGAGCAAAGTTGATTTACAACAATACATTCTAGGACTTTGGCAGGAAAAGGCAAGTTAGAAATGGGAAAAGGCAACTTGAAATTGTCAGGTTAGAGGAATCGAGGGAAAGTTTTTTTGAGGAGTGAGGTGGTTTTGAGGGGAGTGGGATGGAATCTGAATAAAGGAACTAAAGGAATAAAGAAAGGTTGACTGTCTGCCAGCGGGGGGCAAAAGAGGGGGAGTTGGGTGCCCAGCAATTATAATGATAATAATAATCCTTGCATTTGATATAGTGCTTTTCATGTCTCCTCAACGTCTCAAAGCGCTTCACAGAATATACTGTAAAGTGAATTTGACTGTATATTTGTGGGCGAAACGCAGCAGCCAATTGCGCACAGCAATGTCCCACAAACAGTCGTGGATTGAAAATGACCAATTTATTATTGTTTTTGGTTTTGGAGGATTATTATTAGGCTCTGTGTGGAGTAAGGAAACTTGGTTTCGCCCTCTGCCTGGAATTGAACT